GTAAGCAGGAAGGACGCTGACTCCTGCAGGTTGCGACTCGTTTCGGCACGTGCCGGCCGCCACGGCGGCACGTGTCCTCACACATGTACGTGCGACCATGCGTGTTCACAATTATGTAATTAACGACCTGTTAATTTTATAATTAATTACAATTAATTATAGGCCTCGATAGAAAAGCGATCTATCCCGTTGGAAGGCCTTACCTTATTAATTAAACGTTTTATGTAAATTGTTGCGTAGCGATGGCCTTGACCTCACTACTTATTTAATGTTTAATATCTATTTGCGAAAACGCAAACATTGAGTCGATCGTCATGCGAGACGTCGATTCTTATACTATTTTCTCGATTTCGGACATTGTCTATTAAAAAGTGAGACCAATATGTGACGCAATAATCATCTCTCGGATACACAAAATTAAGAGGAGTTAATTATATTCCAGCAAAATTTGACACATTACATTCTCAACAGGGCTAACGATTGTTACATGTTTCGTGGTCCGATAATTACCGATTGCAAAGTTATTGCAATTTGTTTAATCAAACCTCCATAGCGACAAGACCGTAACTCCAAGGAGCGGCAATTTTATAACAATTTATCGAAAAGGCAAGAGGCTCGCAAAATACGCGGTTGCCTTTTCGAATTTATGAATTATTAACAAAACGTGAGATCTTATAATTAAATAATTATGTTACAACGGTGCAACTGATAACAAAACGGAGACAAATGTTTTCTCGAACGTTTCTTTTTGTTCATCCTGTTGAATGTTGTCCCGGGACCAATTTGTAAACAATTGGAGAGGAGGTGAAACCACGGCCCTATATAAGGCGGTCCGCCGAGCCTTCGAAAGGAGTCACATCAAGATTCGAGAAACCATTATGTCCCCAAGCCGACGAGGCACGACTCGAACCGAAGTACTCAATACGGACGAGTTTTTAATTAGAAAAATTGTTCAAGGGAGTTAAGATCGCTGGCATTTCTATGATTTTATATCCTGGCGGCACGATCGGAAAGAACTCGTGTATGGTATGCAGCTAACGATCGTTGATGTAGGCACCAGTGGTAATGTTACATTCGACTCGCATAGCGTTCACATCGAGAATGGCGACAGGTACATTGGACGCGTGTAATTTATTAGGTTTCAAAACGCGCGGAGCGAAATCTAACAAGCGATCTATGGAATCGTCTGGCAGAAAATTGATGTCGCGATTACATTTAACCTCGCTGCATAACGTATTATTGTTAGCTCTAATGTTGACGACGATACCCTTATCTTGCAACGCGCTCTGTACCTAGCTCTCGATATCCTCGATCTCATAGCTTCCAATAGGTATAGTTATAATTCCGTCCCGCACATAGAACTTATTGTGACCGGTATCCACGTTCGAAATCGAATTAAAGGTCAACAGCCCGATGAGTCCGAGGACATAATTTTGGTGTGGAGAAAGCTCGATAGGATGAAAGTATTGAGCTTCGAGTACAGAGGAGGTGCTCGACAAAGTTAACGTAAGTGAATCTTCCATGATCACAGACGTTAGACTGACATCGCAAAACTACGTCTTACATTTAGATGAACGATACTTATTAGTACGATTTAATTGACCACACAAAAACTTTAAGCATAAGTGGCCGCATTCGAAACTATCGTACTGCTGACATCTTTCGTAATTGTACGTTACACTACCAACACCAAGATACCTTATAAGATCTAATGGCGGTCAAAGATTGACAAAACTATCGAATTAGATAACTCGATCGTCCGTCTTCTTATACGCGACCCAATGCGTTCCAGGACCATCTTCATCATTGAGATTGACAATCGCCGATTCATGTCTGTATGGACCATTTTTCGACATGGCGTTTCTCATAAAGACTCCTCGAAAATGCGGAATCTTTATGATTTTCGCGTACTTGAGCACATCCGCATCGGTTAACGCTCGGCGTGGTAGTTTCACTTCAAGTATTTCGGCTTTTCGTAAATACCCAATCCTTTCCTATAGGGTTTCAAGTACAGTCCTTTGCCCAATGCAATAACTTCCATCGTTTTGTTGTGCCTTTTGCTTTCCTTCAATCGTGCTTTGGATGCGTTCGCGTTGTTCACGGCTTTGGCTATACCCGCTGCTCCACCAGCAAGCACTCCAGCGGCACTTAGACCCGCAAACACGGGAATGAGAAACGGCAAGAAACCTCCGACTTTGGATTGCACAGGTAAAATTCGCGGTGTACGCACGTTACGTTTTCCGCCGGCCCGTTTAACGGCCATTTGTGCCCCTTTGCGGGCAGATTTGATGGCGATCCGCGTATCGTTACTCGGAATCATCGATGGTTTAACTTCATCGATAACGTTTCGCAGCGCTATCTTCTTCTTCTTGATCCCCATACCAAATTTAAATTTAGTCTTCATTAAGTTCGCGACGGTTAAAGCGGCCGCTTTCTCGGCCTTATCGGCATCACCTGAAAAAACGCGTTTTTAAGCTTTTTCGGTCAGCACTCTGTCCGCTGCCCCTCTTTGCTCGAGATTTTCTCGATTCTTCGAATAGGCGATGTCGTGCTCTTTATAGGCAGCGTCAAGGGGGTTAATACCAGGATCACCTCGTGCCAGTCTTTTGGCTAATTTTGTGCCAGGCCTGCAGTACTGATAGCCGGATATATGCAATTCAACGGGAAGACTGTTGATGATCCTGTTAACTAAACCTCCCCCTTTGCGTCGCTTACCATGCACGATCATATCCGCTTCCTATCGCGGAACGACTCCAACTGAACTATGACCTTTATAAACCCAATATTTATAGCTTTTTCATTAATCGCAGGCGAGGTGAGGTTCAAAGTCCTTGCAATTGCCTGTAATGAATTTCGACGAGCTGATACGAGTGGAAAAACACCGCAAGGGCACGGCGAATTATTGCCAAACAGTATACGCGCGGTGTTTTGCGGGCCATCCAACTGCGGTAAAACGAACGCGCTGCTCGCTCTCATTACTCATCCTAATGGATTAAGATTCGGAAACGTTTACGTGTTTTCGTTATCGTTGGATCAACCAAACTACAGGTTTCTAGACCGTTTACTCGATAGCGTGCCCGTCGTCGAGTACTTTCCTTTTACGTAACACGAACAAGTGCTGTCACCGAACGAGGCTCGACAAAAACTCGATAATTATTTACGACGATATAGTTTGCGAAGAATAAGATAACATCAGAGCCTTCTTCAGCATGGGGCGGCATAAGGATGTTGACTGTTTCTACCTTTGCCAGACGTATGCCCGTATTCCAAAATATCTGCTGCGCGATAACGCTAATCTCCTGATACTTTTTAAGCAGGATGAAATGAATCTTAGGCACGTGTATGATGACCACGTAAACACTGACATGACCTATGCACAATTTAAAGACTTGTGCACGGTATGCTGGAACGATGATAAGTATGGATTTCTCGTGATCGACATGGACAGCGAGCCCGACAGAGGCAGATACCGAAAAGGATTCGACTGTTTCGTTGAAATAAATGAGCGATCCCCGAGAAAATTAAAACAGTAGCGTTTCGAATTCGCGGCAACACGCAGCGAGAAAAGCTTCAGGAGCAAAAAGATGTCTTGCGTCAAATTGCTAAAGCTAGCGATGCGTTCGCAGAAAACATAAAATAATAAAATTAGAGAGAATGTAGAGCGAACGATGAGCGAAGTCTTTAACCCTTTGACTGCTGTGGACTATACTGCGGCCTATAGGCGCATATGTGCGTCCGGCGCAAGCCATTGATGTAGACTATGGACGCAAATGCGCGCTCGGCAAAGGCTCGGTGAAAAAGTATTCAGTCCCCAGCGATCGCTATTGCGGGCCGCATGTCGCCCACGCGAAGCGCTTCAATTTGGAGCAGTTAGCAGTCAAAGGATTAAACCCTATAGTGATACCGCTGCCAACGCTGGTGAACGATGCGGGGAGTAGTCCCGTCAAAGATGATGTAAAGAAGGAGGAAGACATCAAAGCGGATGAATCTTTCAAATCAGCCGATTATTCTTTCCAAAGTGTCACCGAAGTAGAAGAAGACGCTGAAGAACCGTCTATGGAATCACCCGTTAATGAAAACGAGTTGATGCAGTGGTATCTTCGCATGTTGCAATCGATCCAGGAGAAACATTTGGATACCGTCTACGATGTACGTAAACTCTCTAAGAACAGGCTAATGATCGGTGAATCGTCTATAAGTTTTGAGGGTAACCAGATTCTTGTGGGTAATAAGAAGTATTCAACAACTGCGAGTTTAATAGACCTCCAATTTAAGAAAGGGCCCGACGAAACTATTATAAATTAAAAAGACTTAGATAATTACAGAGAAATTATCGTAACCATCAATACCCACAGAAAATACTATAAGCCTCACAATGTCATTCGCAAAACGAAGAGTTTCAAATTTGAGGGGATGTGAAAGTGGCATCTTAGGAGTCAATCGTTCATGAAACTTTTCTACGAATTGGGTGTACCGATTTGTTTCAAATTTTACCACGTGAATAAAGAGACCCTAAGAAAGGTCCTGAAACTCGAGAAATTTCATTTGTTATTAAAATTGTTGAAAACGGCTATAAACAAATTATCTTAAAATTGAAATTTCATGGATTTCAGGACCTTCTTTGTAGCCTCCATATTCACATTATCAAGTTTGAGACGATTCGGTACACCCAGTTCGAAGAAAAGTTGTATAAACGATACTTCTTTGGCGCCACTTTCACATCACCTTAAGAACGTTATTGAAAAAGTTATCGAAAAACATACGGGGGAAAGTATCGTACCTCGATATATAACTGCTGCTGCAGAGGATAGACGAATGGATTACGTGGACTGGAATGATCCTAATGAATTGGTGGATCTGTCTTCATCTACTATATGCTTGTCAGGAAGTCGGTAACCACGCGGCAGTCACGCGAACGAAATCTTATCGATTATCGAGGAACTGCGCGAGGTACGTATCATTATTAATTCGGTAAAACGATTGAAATCGTCATTTCGGATATGAGTATCGATGTGTTTGGATGTCAATTATGTAACAAATCCACGGCTGTGAGTATTCGCGGTCTTCCTGGTACCGGCTTTAAATTCATCCACGACGGCGAGTACTATATAGACGGCAACAGGCTGTGCAACGTCGCCAATCCGGAGGATGAGCATGATGCTGTAACTATGAATCTTATGAAATCTGTAGTAAAGTAAGAAGTCGGTACTATATTTCAAGTAACGAGCAGATTGCGCCATGATATCGATGACAACAGCGCAATCACGCAAGTTCTTGAGTCTATGAAGGAAAAGTTGAACCGCTTGAAGACTGATTTCGATACAGCACAAGAGTTGACAATTCGCAACTCCTAGACCATTTCCCGATTGGATGCCTGATTAACTACGTTGAGAATCAATAGAAAAAAGTTACAGGTGGTGAATGAGTTGCATAAACCTGCCCGAAGGAACCATCGATGTCGACACGTTGACGTCCGAGGGTTGGATGAAATATGCCAAGAGGATCTCGTTGACATGTCAGAGTATGCAACAGAGAACCGTGGTTACAAGTATCTTCTAACCGTCATAGATGTATTTTCCAATTTTGCTTGGGTCATGGCAATGAGGAGTAAAAACGCTAAAGATGTGACAGCGGCTATGAACTTGAACCTGCTACAGGGTCGAATCCCAAAAAATTACAAGTTGATCAAGGTCGCGAATTCTACAACTCTGAACTTAAAGATTTGATGGAGAAGCATGGTATCACTCCGTACTCGGCACGTTCAGTAACTTGAGGGGTTACATGGATTTGGAAGCCAAAAAAAAAAAGCATATTTTCTCCATTTTTTTTATATAATATATAAATTATTTTATTAAAAATGTTAAGCACATAAAAAAGTAACATTTCAACAATATTTAAAAAAAATTTTCATCCAAAAATGTAGAAAATTCAGCCGGTGGGACCTGGTTTTCGGGGACCCCTAAAAAAAAGTGTCCACGTGGTGGTCAGGATAACTCATGATAGCTTTATCTGAAATTTAAGAACCAAATTTTTTCTGTTAGTAGATCAGTACAGCTAGTGATTGAACGAAGGATTAAAAAAAAAATGAAATTTGAATTTTTGGCAGGGTTGTATGCAAAATAGTTCAATTTTTGGTACAATTTACACTACGTATAGCCTTGTAAAATTAGTTGTAATCGAAAAAAAAAAAAACTTTCGTTCAATCACTCAGTCAATGCTATTTTGAAGTGCGCAAAATTTCAGTAAGATCGGTGTATTAGTTTTTGAGAAATCGTGTCCACCGGCTTCAAAAATAGTGTTTTCAGAAAAATGAGATTAAAATTTTAAGTAGCAATAAAATGAAGAATTTTTTTTTTAACTTACATAGAATCGTCGATTCCAGCTCCATAAAGCAAAGATCCTGCTGCAGCTGCGATGTCCAGGGCATCCTTTTGTTCCTGCCTAAGACGAATTCTTGCTTCTCATATCCCCGTCTCAGCTTTTTTCTCAGCTAGGAGTATGCGATGTCCATCCTCTTTTCGCGCGTTCTCGTGGTTATTTTTATGTCCATCCCGTACAAAAAAAAAAAGTAACAGAGTTGAGATCCCTTCGGTGAAAGTACAAGCGGCAACTGATGCAGCAATTTCAACTATTTTGGAACCAGCAGGAAGTATTTTTGGAGTGATTTCCCAAATTAACTGGTTCTGACACTCATTATTATTTTGCGTAAAGCCACCAACACACCGCTCTAGAAGCACATCTTTGTTAAGCTCTTCATAAATAGGCTTGATAGCTGACAAAACATCACTCGGCAATGGAGTATAATCGTGTTTGAATGATGATAAGACATTCATAGCTGAAGCACGCTGCCAAATGCACCATGAGTCAGGGCCGCTTGGGCATCTTTGGGCTGTGGATTTTGGTCCGTAGAGCTGTAGTGGAAGTACGTTGCCCATATAGCGTCCTTCATGTTTTGAACTGAATCACAATTTCTTCTTATAGACAGTTCGTAATAAACTGTTAATTTGTCAATTAATTTACCCGTAGGCTTGTCTTTGCCAGATAGAATTTTTGTTTCTACCCGTTTTACCTTTAATTTTTTTTTTTCCAGTAAATTGCGTAAACGGGTGCCCATCCTCTTTTGCACGTGTCCTATGCATTCTTTTACATTTATTTGAACATTTTCACCATAAGGTTTGGAATTAAGAACTCCGCAATATGTTTAGGAGTTTCCGTCTCCAACGTAATTGACGTATCTCAGGCCGTATTTTTCAAACGAACGTTGAAACATTTCAACGATTGATGAAACTTCCATATTACCAGCTGGCCCTTGGTGATTGGCACGGCATTCGTTTTTTTCTAAATGATCCTCTTGCCACTCTTCAAATTCTGCCGAATCTAGCTGTTTCTTCCAAGTCTCACATAATTTACAATATAAGCTTTTCACAAATATATCCAAAACATTTTCAGAACACCCACCAATCAACGTGACCACATAATGATGAATAACCGCGCTTTTTCCAACTGCCATCGCATGGTACAGTAACATATGTCGTATGTTCAACACCGTTTTCATCGCACGTTAGGATTTTTCTTCTTTTGCAGCTGAGGAAAAGAGTTTCTCGGCAACCGTCTTGATGCATTGATTATATCTTACTGATATAAAAACCGTACGTTGATTGATTCAAGAAAGGACTACTTATATCCATTAAGCCACAACATTTTTTACATCCGTCAAGACCTAAGCCTAATATTCGCAAAACAAAAATGAGTCTGCGATTTATTTCATACGCTTTACCTATTTTTTTAGACGATGAAATATATCTAGGCTGACACTTTTCACACTCCACCATTATTTTAAAACCAAGACGTAATTTTACACATTGTTTAAATTTAACTTTACCATCACATACTTCTTCCTCTCCATTTTCATTTATAATGTTAGAGCACTTCACAAAATTAGCAAGTGTTGAAAACACTAAAAAAAAGTCTATAATTGTATATTGAAGAGTAGCGTCCTCCGTCATGTGTTTCTCATCTTGACTTCCAAGTTTTTTCGCCGATGTGCTGACGAAAGAGGCATCTGCAGTCTTAAGATTAAATGATTGTTTCCTCTTTCTTGGTCTATCTTTTCTTCTTCCCTCTGCTCAATCAACTCTACTAATTTTATGCGGCTCCATTTTGCAAAAAAATTCGGTAAAAATTCACAACGCACACGTATGACCTCAAAGAAACCTCGTGGCTCAACAAGCAATAGTAACAGAAATATAATACGTGACCCTCAGAAAGTGAGAAAAACGAGCGGGAGAGACAGACAAACAACAGCTAAGCAGCGGTCTCGACATATCTGCGTCGCTCCCAGCCGGTCATTCCCAACGAGGGGAATTCTCAAAGACTCTCTCTCATAGACCTTTACTCTGATTGACTTAAAACTTTGGGAGAATATTCTAGATATTGTAATGTTAGATAATAAAATTAAAAAAAAAAATTGATTTTTTTAAATTTTCAAACCCATGTAACCCCATGAAGGCATCAATTTGTGAACGGTTTAACCGCACTCTAAAAAGTAAAATGTGACTACAATTCAGCCTACAAGGAAATTATCGGTGGTTGGATATAATATCGGACGCAAAATTCAAAGCTGGAGACAAAGTGCGAATAAGTAAATTTAAACATGCGTTTAAGAAAGGCTACACACCGAACTGGACGACCGAAGATTGTTCACCGTTAGCTTAGTAAATAATACCGACCCAGTGACGTAAAAACTTAAGGATTGCCAACCATCGAAGACGGATTCTACGAAGAATTGATTCGTGTTAAACACCCCGACGAGAAGGTGCTTAGGAAACGTGGAAATAAGCTTTTCGTGAAATAGCTAGGTTTCGATAATTTGCATAATAGTTGGATCAACAAATCGGACTTGTAGAAGGAATTTGAAGAAAAGAGAAGACAGTTATTTTACTCATTTTATTTTGTATCCCCACGGTAAAGTATTGGTAATTCCCGGAATAATGACTCTCTTGTCATCGCGCCAATTTACAAGGAGAGTACCGAGGGCCGACCTAGCCGATTTTCTACATTTGCAGGTATGTTGTTCTACATGGAAAATAATAACATACGTATTTTTGTATACGTGCTAATTCGTCCATTTAAGGGGTGAATAAGGCCCCTGAAGTTCACCCCCAAAAAGTGATTTTTCAGTATTTCTTCGAAAATACCCTACATATCGCCAATTTCATTGTTCCAACTAATACCTCATCAAAAGCCGCTGATATGCCGTACATTTGTGTTGCCGAGGGTTGCATCCTTTCCATTTCTGGGGGGTGAAATTAATTTTTTTTTTTCGGAATTTTTTCGCGATCAAATCTTCTGATTTCATCCAATTTTATCGAAAAAAATTCCACAGTATATAACATTGAAAGAATTAATTGACCTGTGCCGGTATTTTTGCGAAATTCCTATTGAAGGGGGTAAACCACCCCAAAATCATTCATTACCAATCCACATGCATTTTTTTTAAAAAAAGAGCTGAATAACATTCATTGACGATAAATAATGATGTTGAGAGTATTTTCGTGTCCAGATATCGCATACCTCAAATTTTACCTAGGGAAATTTTATTTATTTCCAATATTTTAATGTAATTTGTTGTACAAACGGCTACAATCTTACTAGAATCCTTTATGGTAAAGAAGAATGCGAAAAGATGATTTACACATGTAGCTCCTTTCCAACAAGAGTTTTGAATACGATTTACTATCCTTAAATTCAGTTCACGAACATTCCTTTAAAAATGATCCGTGTAAATTACTCCCCATCATCGCTTATTAACAAGAGATTTGATTCAACATGTAAATCACTGACAGTCAGAAATGATAAGTTATTATCAGTATTATAGTACTATCCGACCTTTCTGTTTTATATGCGTCATTATCACGGATGTATTAGGTTCGTATTTCTTACAGTAATGGTAGGCATGGAAAAAATGTTTGAGGCATAATGATTTCTTACACCATGAGCATCTCACAATTGTGATACTACAGCAACCTTCTGTTTCACAGCGAACATCAGAATTGTATCCAAAGCCGAACTGTACTGGATTTTCGAAATCTCTTGGTTTTTCTTCAATGTAACCACTTTTGTACCATGAAAATGTAAATAAATTGAAGTATTGAGGAGATGAGAATTGATTGTGAACCAAAGATAGAAATTTGATGATATTATTTCTCATATGGAGATTCAAATCTTCATTCATAAGTATGACGCTGTCCGAAAAATGCCTCACATCATTTTTCCACACTCTAAAGCCATACACATCTACTGGCCAAATTTTTCCAGTCCCCGTCGGAATTAATTTGGCAATCATATCTTTATTAACAAGAGTTCCTCCACTTCATCCACACAACTACAGAACAATGTCCGCTCCACAAATCAATCAACAATACACTCAAGGATCCAACATTTGGAATGTACACGTCCTTCAGCCAAGTTTTGAAATGGTCTGAAAATATATTTATTGAACATATTAATGAGAAAAAATACATGATAACCATATTAATACCTGAAGTCAGTTTTCCAGATTTAGACGCCATAACACAGACGTTGAAGGGGGTAAATAAATTCTTTACTACTGGTCCAAATTCTTCGCTGGGTTCTTTCAACACAATGAAAAGGGATGACAAAAGTTTCCCATCGGCTGATATTAGTGGTTGACTAGTATAATTGTGACTAGCCGAAGAAACAGATTGCACCAAACATTGAACTTGTTTTTCTCCTTCAACTGCCAATGTTCGTCCAGAGTGTATTTCCAATTGGAATCCACTCTGATCCGAATTGACAACATTTCGTGAACCTTTTGCTAAAATCTCTCGTCTTATATCGGCTACAAAGGAATCGGATTTCTGCTGTAAGTAGTCTGCACCTTCAAACGTTTTCTTTGTAATAAATTTATTAATTTTCCTGCTGACAATTCTATGACCTCGTTTGAAATTATTCACCCAGTGTCCGGAAGCTCCGAAACGGACACCTTCATGACCAATTTCTTTTTACGCTTGTAGAGCCCATCTTTACAGATCTATATCATGTATAATATGTCCAGCATCAACTGCGTTTTTGAAATTTTCCAAAACAAACTGACAGATTCGTCGTATTTTGTCTCTGTAAGTACCCCCTTTGATGAGTATATGAGTCCAGCATTTTAATTGTGAGATGGATCTGACTTTCCAGAATCGATTCTGTACAGTTTTCAATGCGAGATTCTTTCCCTTTCCACTTCTCCAAAACTCCACAACATGTTTTATAGTCATGAGACAATTCTTCAGAATCCATTGAACACTGTTCAATATCATCGCTCAAACTCCATACTTTGTCATCATCCTCTACTATTTGCATTGGAGCATCTTTATAAGGCTCCTGAACACCTAATTTTTCGTTTTTTATAACTTCTATATCATTGAATTCATGCATAGCGTCAAATAATATATTTTCAATGATTACTTTCAACTCAATTTCTCGCTGTGTCAGAGGAGTATTTTCCAATTGTAATCCTGAATATGTCACCAGTAGCAATTGTAGAACATTCATAGGATTTATCACCATTTTGATGAAATATAATTTGAGGCCCAGTCACTTTTCAATTCCAAGTTTAGTTATTGTTATAGATATTCAAAGTGGACATAGAAAAAAATTTGATATAATTCCACAGAGTGATCATACCTGCACAATGACGTGTTTTGATTCTCTTCACTATTCATCTAAAAAACTGTGAAATTTAATATTTCCAGGATGTGCTTCAGTGAAATAATAAAATATAAATGACAATGAATGCACTGAACGATGCGTTACTTATATAAGCAGTGTCGGCAAGACATTGAATCGCACTCGTTAATGAATTCTATATTGATTATAAAACTGCGTCATTTCTCATTTATCAGTTCGAAAATAATACAATCCCATGTTTATTAATAATGAAGAGAACATCATATAGGGTCATATAGCTCAACAGATTCAGACAATTTATACCTGTTTCAATCGTTGTTTACGGAAGGAAAGACATGGCATTCAATGGGGACATTTCCCGGGAGAAAATTTTCCACACGTTCTCTTCAGGAAATTTCATGAAATTTTTTCAAAGTATGTAACCGCTGACCACAACAATACTCTCAACATCATTATTCATCGTCAATGAATGTTATTCAGCTGATTTTCTCAAAAAAATACACGTAGCTTGGTAATGAGTGATTTTGGGGTGGTTTACCCCCTTCAAGGGGAATTTCGCAAAAATACCGGAACAGGTAAATTAATTCTTTCAATGTTATATAATATGGGATTTTTTTTCGATAAAATGAGTTTTAGGAGTCATTTTCATCCCTTAAATGGACGAATTAGTACATAAAAAAAAATACGTATTTTATCATTTTCCATGTAGAACATACCTGCGAATGTAGAAAATCGGTGGGGTCAGCCTCGGATACTCTCCTTGTTAGAGCTATTTTCCACTGTCGAATGGTGTATACGGAATGTTTTTTTACTTCGTATAAGATGCTGCGTTTCGATTACATCAACCTGATTCGAGAGACATTAGAAATAGTTGCCGAAAGTTATTTGCTTCAACGCGGATCCTTCCACCCCGTTTGCACGGTTCTTATCTTTATCTTCGCCTAAAACTTTAAAACTATACAATTTTGCGTGCAGTCCTACAAATTCAGTCATAATTTTCCCATTATTCTCGTCTCTCATTAGACCTACAATCTTTTTATTTACTAGCGGTATTCCGTACACATTATCCGCGGGGTAGTTGGATGTGTCGAACAAGTGGAAATCGCGCTTAATGTATTCATATATATCGGTAACGTTAAAGTGGTACAGTAAGCTATCTATATCAGTGTAGAATAATTTTGCTCGCTCCCCGAACGTCGGCTTAACTGTTTCAATGCCACGCAGCGCGATCGCGCTTTTCGCGTAGTGTGGTGAACTGTGTCGCGATGTTTGGTCCCGATCGTCAATTCGCAACGCTATCGCGCTTCATGGTACAATCCGACACAGATTTTTAAAAACCCCTGGCACTAAAACGGTTAATATAATTATAATGGAAGTCATAAATTTAAGTTTTAGAGATGTCTAAAATACAAAATTCTACATAGATAAGCCTATTGAATTTAATCTGCGTTCGATTCATTTCGATTATCACTATATCCTCTTCAAAGATGGTGCAGCTATGAAAATTTGGTTTCCCAATGAGAGCTTTCGCGCCGTACCCCTCGTCCCACTTGGTAAAGAGTTTGACATCATTTCGATTTCTAACGTTCCCCATCGTTTTCCGAAACATTGCGTCATTCATTAATTTATAGAAATTCTTTTCGAAATCGTTATGAGACTTTTTTCGTAATTCTGTATTTAAATCCATGTATTTTTTAAACCAAGGACTTTGATTAAATTTAAGAACTCGATGAATTTTTGTTAATTTCATGCCTAAACTTAAACATTGCTTTAAATTTCGATACTGAATAACGTATCTTTTTTCGACAGAAGCATCATCATTGATTTTGTCGTATTTGAGCCAGGAGGTGCGCAGTGATCGAGACATAAAGGCAAATTTTTAAAAATTTCGTGACGCGATTCGGGACACACATCAATCTCAAATATGTACCCTGCTGAGGAAGTATCGGAAATATTCCGAATACCGAGTTGATCGAAATTTTGTTCCCACTCGAACGATTTGAAAGGTAAAAATTGGCTCATGGCGGTCCCGTACAAATTAATCACGTCGTAATACGTTAGATACGACTCGTCCTTACTCGTATCGAAATCTATCCTCATGTACCTGTTATTCGCTTTGGCGTATCGTTTACAGCACTGAGCCACGCCGCCGCGAATACCTCTCCCGACAAACAATAACATTTCCTCGTCAAGAAGTTCGAGTTCGATGTCCGACACGTTAACATAGCATCGAAGGCAACACCGGGTGCCGTAAAATAATGTAGAGCGTCCAATTTGTACGCAGAAAAATATTTGCATCTGAAATTTTCAAAAATTTCAGCCAAGAGTAGCACGTCAGTCTTCAGATACAGATCCGAATACTCACCTAAAGTTTTGATATCAAACGTTTGCCAAACGTCGGTTACGCGTAAATAATAATTTTCAGAAATCTCTTCGTTATTTAATTTTGAGATAAATTTTTCTTTAGGAGGTAGCCGAGTCTTTTCAAGTTTCTCTCAACGGTCAATGTATTCATAGGGAAAAAACACCCTTTCTAGTCAAATGTTCAAATTCCTGCCCGCTGTTGCAGTGTTGACGCGTAATTAATTTCTCGGAATCGTCCATATAAGATGATAATTTTTCGATACTACTGGCCATAAACCGGAACGAATCAATGAAACGAAAATTAATGCTCGTAATTTTGACGCTCTTTATAAGTGCTTTATATATCTCTTTATTTACCGGTAATAGACCAATCGCGCCCTCGAAAGAATTGGCCAATGTGAGCACGTAAAAAGTGTGAATTATGCCAGATAGATTGTGAAAAACTACGGGAACTGCGTGCGAATTATTATAATTCAAATTACACCCCGGATGTGCAGGACCGCGATACTTGCCTGGGAAGTGACAGTGATCTCGACGCTTGACATCCTGAGTTGTAAAGGGTTTCTTGCAGATGTGACAAAATGCTGTAGATTCAAATTCGTGTATCTGCGTGGTATTAAGTGGTTCCATAGGAACGACGCGGTTATGGTAATATTCCAAAGATTGTGCTAATTCCCGCAGCTTGTCCATAAACCACTGTATACTGTTCTGTTCGCGGTTAATTTTAAATTTGGATAACGACTCGTCAAAGGTACAATGCAGATAGCATGCGATACTATACGGGGTATGTTTTTGGTATGGTATCGTGTTTGTCGATTGAGGGGTGTTGGTGACTGATTCCAACATGCATTCAATGTCGGTATATATAACGAAAGGTAAGGCTTCTTGATATTTGTAAGTTGTAAATTATAACATTTTCGCCTTTTCACTCGGTGAAACGAACCGACACTTATTCATATTCATGAAATCGAGTCTATATTTTTCGAAAGAATTCGTCGTTACAAAATAACACAGACACCGATCGTACAATTTAGCGTCGTGCTCATGTTTAGTAATTGGCGATCTCAATAGACATGACAGATATCGGATCCAAAATGATACACTGCATTTCTTGAACAGTCCTGTGTCATCATCATCATCATCCTCAATTTTACTTTCTACCATTAGCAGATGAATCGTGGATTTATCTGAGATTTATTTATTCAAGTAAAATGGAATTATTTCACTTTTCATTGTCACTTTTTCTACCAATTGAATCTATCCCGTAAACATTAATTGCTAACCCATTTAATTTTTCAAACTTCGGGATATCCTTGAAACTCATCGGAAAATTCAGACCTTCATGTTCTAATACTGAATTGAAATGTGGATACGAACTTACACAACTTGCGTTACTAGTGGCAGGAAAAAAGGGCTGATGTCACAGCCAACAGAAAACAAAATGGATCATTGTTTCTAACGTTCATGACGGTTTTCTTATTTTGTACATATTTAAGAAATTCGACGTTCG